ATGAGATCTTCTATGCCCGGCTTGTCTGCAATATCCACATCTATTTTTTTTCGGAGCTCCTTCCCGGCCTTCATCCATAGTACCTTTTAAGCGTACTGATCGTGGGCGTCCGGCTTGTCTCTTATAGCTTGGAGGCACCACATGCGGCCCGTTATAGTGTGGCCAATAACGACTATCATGTACGGGGTGGAAACACTGCTTATATGCCTCTCTATAGTTGCTTGATTGATACCACTCAGAAGCGTATGTGTAATACGAAATATTTGCACCCCCCGATTGCTTGGACGTAACCGCTATGACATGTGGACAAGGCAATTTTTGCAATTCTGGTATGTTACAGGTGCATGTGCAATGTGCACCTCCCAAATTGACGGTGTAATTGTGACCATGTTTGTCTGTAACCTCCCATTCATCTACAGCAAATCTAACAATCTTCGTGCCTCTCGCCTGCTTAACTCGAGCTTCTAAAATCGCCTGATTTTTTGGTGTCAAGAACGAGGCCCACATTGCTCCATCCTCTCGCCGCTTGACAAAATAGTAATTGAGCCTATAAAATGTCCTCGCAACCAATGCCTGTATGGGCATTGCCCGAGCCCCCTTAAGTACCCTGTTGAAGCTTTCAGACAATTGGTTGTCATCATGCAGAACCGATTCCCTCCATCTTTACTGAGTGCCCACCGGTCGACGTAATCACTGCCCAGACTTCTCTCAATCCAATCATGTGCAGCTTGAGATGTTGCCTTGATTTGATCCCGTATCCGATCATACACATATGTTTCCGACGTATAACCCGCTTGCCACAAAAGGTTTTGTAAATTAATCTGACTAAAGCTCTTTTTGAAGTTAGCTCTAATGTGTCGTAAGCAATAGCGATGATGGTGATGAGAGCCAAATCTCCTCCACAATGCTTTTGGAATACCTTTCATCCTATCAGATATGAAAGTAATTTTTCTAGGAGGCAACACATTAAAAATATATAATTGAATGCAAGAAAAAAACCACTCCCAATTTTCACTGTTCTCGACCTCCACAACGGCGAAGGCCAAAGGAAATAAGCCACCATCTGCATCAACTCCTGTAGCAACAAGCAGTACACCCTTGTATTTACCGTATAAGTGTGTGCCATCAATGTTAAGAATAGGTCGACAAAATTTAAACCCCTCAATCGAAGGCCCAAATACCCAAAAAACAGAGGTGAATTGATGAACTCCCGGATCGATCTCTTTGGTTATGAGTTTGTATTCAGATCCAGGATTACTTCTTTTGATCGCATCAAGATATTGAGCTAGTGTCGCGTAAGACTTGTCCCAATCACCAAATATTTTTGTCATCGCAATTCTTCTTGCATTCCATGCTTTAATATACGAGATTTTAATGAACTTGGTATCAAGCACTTTCTCAATTATATTATCGGGCGTTAGATCAAGCTTCTTCCTTAATTTTGGCATAATCAACCGCGCTATGTAAGAGGCAGATGCACCACTGTGATCTTGCTCTAATATTGGATTGACACATGTGTGAACACCGCAGTATTCACTGATCCTAAATTGAAAATTGTGTTTCTTTCCTGCAAATGCATATAACTTCCAAGGACATGAGTAATCAGCTTCATTTCCCTCGGTCAGACCTGTTCTTTGTGTGTTCATAAAACATATTGCATCATAACTTGTGCGATTGCTTTAAACTTGCTTGAATTTGAAATTCTTTTCGAAAGAGTATTCACGAATAGCATCAACCAATTGGTCTTTAGTCTCGAATAAATCACCAACTTTAAAGGGGGCGTCATCATCTCCTCTACGAGTTGAACTTTCACCGATGCACATATCTTTTACTGTGGAAGAACGAATCCACTCATCATCTTCAAACTCGTCGGGGGGTGGTTCTTCGTACTCAACATAGTCATTATTAACGTAAGCCTCATCAGGCCATTCCGGATTATCTTCGACATCTTGGGTAACAAATTGCATGCTATCAACTGGATTATCCGAGTCATTGCTTATTTCATCCTCTTCAACTGTTTCCCCACTTAACCTCCCCATATTTCCATAAGAGACTTCGTTATTCATGACATTTGACGTTTCACCGAATTTATTTCCATAAGAGACTTCGTTATTCATGACATTTGACGTTTCACCGAATTGAGCCCGCTCCATTTCACTCGAAGAAGAAAGAAACCCATCGGAATGAAGAAGAAAGAAACCCATCGGAATTAACTCTCATATCTAACATGCGTGAGAATTCTCCTGGAGGTTTGAATATTTGGCACGAATTATGTGGCAACTTTTCAATAAACAATTCTACCGTTTGTTGCGACATGCCCAATTTAAACATAATACTCATATGATAATCGTTCGAGATCTCCACTGCGGATGTTCTATCAATAGCTATGGGCCAATTGCATATAATTTTCAGTCGGTATTCTCGTGGGTCAATTTCCGTAACTCGGTGTAATTCCAGAACCAAGTCGTAGTAACTATATGATTCCGGGATCATTAATGACGTCGTTACCCCTCCGACATACATTGGCATATTATTCATCCCATAATTAATTTGTCCACCATAAGAACAAGCAATAAAAATCATATTGCTCAACCTATTCAAAAGAAAATTATATCATTTAAATATAAAAAATTAAATTAATATGCAAATAATCTCATATAATTTTAACCAAAAACCCTAATTCCCAAATTGTAAATCCTAAACCCTAAAATTCAACAATTGAACATTCTATGCCCTAAAAGTTAATTACATTAATAACAATCATCATACAAACGAATTTCAGCGATAAAACCCACTAAATTCATTTATGAATGAAAACCCTAGAAATTTATTTTTTAAAAAAATCCTAGATTTTTACATGTTAAAAGAGGAGAGGAGTAGAAGAAATTACCTAAATCAGTTTAGATAACCTTTGATTTGAATTTCGGCCGAAGAAACCTCAGATCTGAGGCTTGGTTTCGTGAGAACGTAGACGGAAGAGAGAAGAGGGAGGCGGAGAAACAAAATGGAATAAGGGTTCGGTGGCTTCGGTGGGTTCGGTGGCTTTTATATGGGCCCAGAAAGTAGTCGGGTTTCCCAACCCCGACTACTTTTGGCGTGGGCAAAATGGGCTTCGAATTGGTCGGGGTTGCCAACCCCGACCATTTTGTCCGTGGTTCAGCCCAGCTAGCACTGGGCTCTGCTAAATGGTCGGGGTTGGTAACCCCGACCATTTCGAAATAGGTCTGTTACGAAATGGTCGGGGTTCCCAACCCCGACCATTTAGTTAACCTCTTAGTGGACGATAGACTAAACAGTCGGGGTTGGCAACCCCGACTGTTTACGAAGCCGATTAAAAAAAAATCGACCCGCTTTCTCCCCATGACGCTGACGTGGCGAGAAAACGGGTCGATTTCAGTAAATAAAACATGATACAGTCGATTTTGCTAATAAAAATTCAAAATGTGGCTACAGTGAAAATTTGTTCTTGTTAAAAATAAAACGTTAGGAGTTTCTGAAAAAAGATGGGTTGAACTTATAGGCTTCTTTGTTAAAAATAGAAAGTTAGGGACTTTTTAAGGAAAGAGGACTAAAACTTAGGGCTCTCTAGACTACATTCTCTTCATTTACACCATGAAGAAGATCAAAGCAAAATCATGGTGCGACAACTGGTAGTACTGTTTCAAGCTAGCAAAGACCAAACGGATTTAAACATGCAACAGCATGTAATAATGAGGACGACTAAAATGCAATGGCAATTTGTCGTGAAGGACATACATTGCAAGTGAAGATTGCTTTAAGCTGATTTTAGGAGGAAAGAAGCCTGCTAATCTATACTACATTACATATAAAAGAAGATGGCCAAGTCTAGTCACAGTCGCGAG